AATGTAAGGAAAGAAAAGATAGACAAACAAAATGTTTTCTATGAATCGATTAATAAATGTAAATTAATAAATGTAAATAATAAATATGGATATTAATAAATAAATATAATAAATATAATAAATATAAATATTAATAAATAAATATAATAAATACAAATTTTAATAAATGTAAATAAATGTAAAATGAAGAAATTAATATTTTAAATGAGTTTAATACTAATTAAATACAAAATCTTAACAACGAACAACAACAACAATAACAAAAACAAGGACAACAATAACGAGGATAACAAAAACAATAACAACAACAAAAACACTAAAAACAACAACAAAACAAAAACAACAACAGCAAAACAAGAACAAGGACAACAATAACGAGGATAACAAAACCAATAACAACAGCAAAAACACTAATAACAACAACAAAACAAAAACAACAACAGCAAAACAAGAACAAAAATAACAATAACAAAAGTAAAAACATCAACAACATAAACAACAATAACAACAAACTGTAATACTTAAATAATTTTCATTATATTTATTATATTATTTTAATGTAAGAAAAATAATAGTAAAAACCTTCTTACTATCATCAACATCTTCAAGATTTGTGACTATTTTTGATTTCTGTTCATCCTATAAATTTGTTTTAGTTTAAAAGAATTTTTTTTTTCATCTTTGAGATTTATTTATTTTATAATATCCGGTTTATGAATGATAAGAAATTAATAAATTCTAAAATATGCTAAATTGATAAGCTAAATTGAAATAATATTTCGAATCAAATTTTAATACTATTTATTGATACGGTTTTTCCACTTATGACTTACGTGCTAAACTAATAAGTTAAATTGAAATAATATTTTGAATCAGATTTTAATACTATTTAATAATCCGGTTTTCTACTTATAGACTACAAGAAGCTCATTTCAACCTCTTTAGTTTCCTTTTTGCGATCCTTTTCCGAATCCCAATCGCTGAGTACATCATCCATAGTTGGATAATCACCTTTGCCACGTGTTTCCTTACCTTTTGCTATTCGTTCCTATATTATCAGAATGATAAATTCAATAGAATTCAAACGTTATCAGTTTCTATCATTACTTAAAATAATGTTAGCAAAAAAATTTACAAATATTTAAACAGTGTTTCTTCTAATTAAAAATAGTATTAAATTTTCTGACCTCTTTAGCATTTCGTTTCATAATTTTAGGTTTTATTTCTTCCATACGTTTTTCCTCTGCCTCTTTCAAACGTTTCTTTTCCTTTTCTGCTAAATTTTAAAAAAGAAAATCTTTGCTAAATTAGAAATTTGAAATTAAAATTTTTGAATTTACTCTATTTGATTTTAATTTAAATTATTTCAATTTCTTTTTGATAGAAAATAATAATTCCTCAAAAATTATACTATCTGTCTAATAATATAAGAATTTGGAATGAGTAATTGTTATTATTATTGTTATTACTTCTTACAGGAATATTTAAATAGTATTATCAAATAATTTAATAAATATTCAAATACCATCTTCAACAGGTGAAGTATGTTGTTCGTCAGGTGTTGCCTTTTGATGTTGTTCATCCGGACCGCTATCTTTATCCTTTTTCTGT